TGAGGAAAACAAAAATTCACAAGTACATTTCCAATTTATTCTGTACCTTCTAGGGGTGGTAGGGTAGATTGGAAAGAAGAGAGCAGCGAAGTTTTGGGAGATAACAACAAGAACCAGTGGACTTGATCGGTTACAGACATCAAAAACAAAAACCGTGTCTCAACTAGTCAAACCACAACAACCAGGGAACAGGTACAACAGAAAGCAGATCTTCACACCAAACTACCTCAAATGGCATCAAAAATGAATGTCCAAGTTTAGGGGTTGGGAGAATCGTCAATTGGTTATCTATAGACAGAGGATGAAAATTTACGACGAGAGAGAATGTGTTTTTGACCCCCTCCCGGGGAAATGAACAATGGCAATCACATGAGCATAAAGATTGTATTGCATTGAGAGGATAAAAAGGTATGCGAAATTTAATGTTGAATTTCCCCTCCTTTTTCTCCCGAAATCCGGTAACAAAATACCTATGATCGGTTTAGAATCATGATGTTCTTTAACAAATCAAAAATCTTCCGGCACAAATCAGTATTTCTTTGGTTTGCGTTTTGTTACAGAATGTGCAAAGAAGGAATCATTTAATAATTTATTTACAGACCATTGGAACCGTTGGAACCATTTCCAGTGAAACCAGGATTATAGGTTCTTCCGTTTGTGGGGGAACCAACCCATCAATGAGAACACATAGTGTTGCAAATTTCCCGATCCAAAGATTGATAATCACTTACTTGTTTAGTGGCAATTGAATTGTGAAAAAGATCAGTAGCCTCGGTGGGATTCGAATCCACGTGCATGGACGCCGCCTACGCTTTTTTTTGTACAGCACACGCTATACCTGTTGAGCCACAATGAGGTCACACCGACAGAGCATTATTGATCTTTCCACATTCGAATTATCATCCATTCAAACTTACACAGAGGCATATGATGGCATCTACCAGTTGGCATGTAAGCTGACTGCCCTAATGGGTTTTTTCACCTTAGCTCAGAAACTCATTCGGTGGACTCCGGTGAATCTTAAGGAAAACTTCAATATGCCGAGCAAAATGTTGAACAAATAAGCTTCACTTGTGAGGTTATGCTTGTTAAAAACGATGATAGTACCTATAGTTCATCACACCAGTGAATGCACATCAGCAAACCGCGAACAGCTGTGCAGCCATTCGACTGTTCGAGGTTCATTTGACCGCCAACTAGTCTTACGTAATCCTACAAGCCGTGGGTTGCTGAACCCCTCTCGCCCCATTATCGCAATCAAATTGCAATCAACTATTCTGTCAATATCGAGATTGTGAAAAGTTCAATAACCTCGGTAGGATTCGAACCCACGCATGGACGCCGCATACACTTTGTACGCGCATGCTCTACCAGCTGAGCTACGAGACCATACCGATAGCACTGATCTTTTCACATTCAAATTTATACATCCTGTCAATGACAGTCAATCAAATTCAGTAGTCCCTCGTGGTCTATGAACAAATACTGTCCTACTATCCGTAGGTTTAATTCTGTTCCGACTTCATAAGAAACAAACACTCCCCGCTTGGGAGTCGAATAGTGGATCAAAGGTGTAGAACTATTTTCTGGTGAGACGCGGATTGTCCGAAATAAAATCCGGAGGAAATGAAATCGTATTCAGTAGGTTAGGGGAATGTAAAAACGAGGACTACAACAGTAACTTTAAAATAATCTGACAGGTGAAACAAGTTGTTCTTCGATAATTTATCAACCGGCCATTTACAATTATATACGTAGAGCGTTCAATATGGTTTGATCTAGTGCGAGGCGGATCTTATTGTCCTGTATACAAAGCGATCCTACGTGCGCCCACATTTCGATGGAGTCTCGCCTT